TATTTCTTTTTGTTTTTGGTTTCTTTTCTCTTGCTACCATTCTTTCACTTTTAGGTTTGCTCTTTGGGATGTAAAATAGCATGCTATTTAGATTATGTAATGGTACTGGTGGTTCTTTGTGACTCTCTTAATTCTCTTAGAGAATTAAAAGAGTCCACAAAGAACCACCAGTGATTCTTAGAGCTCTTTTGATTCTTCAAGCAATGGACTCTTTTGTTTATCTTGGTGGTGGACTTTTTCAGTTCTGGACTCTTTTGATCCTCCCAGATTTTGGTGATTACTTGAACTGGTATAAAAATAAGTACCAGTTCAAGTTTTCTATTTCTTTTTTGCTTTTTTTTTATTACTAATATTTTTTTTCTCTTTTAGATTTGCTCTTTACTTCGGGATGTGAAATAGCATGCGATTTAGATCATGTAATGGTGCTGGTGGTTCTTTGTGGACTCTTTTAATTCTCCTAGAGATCAAAAGAGTCCACAAGAACTACTAGTAATTCTTAGAGCTCCTTCGATTCTTCTAGTGGTAGACTCTTTTGATTATTCTGGTGGTGGACTTTTTCAGTTCTGGACTCTTTGATCCTTCTGAGTTTTGGTTGGTGATTCTTTTTAGACTTTTTTGATTCTTCTAATGATTTTTTTAAACTCTTAATACTTCTAATAGTTTGTAAAATTTTTTTTAATTTTTCCAGTAGTTTTTTATATACTTTTGATATTATCTGTAGATTCTTTGATACTTTTAGTTTTTTTAAAGATTTTTAGTAATTTTGTCAATTTTATTAGTATTTTTTACTTTTATGTTTTTTTTTAGATTTTTTTTTAAATTAATATATTAGTATTTCTTATTAGATAATTTCTATTTGTATACTAAGTGTATATATACAGATAATAAGAAAGTTAATTAGATTACATGGTTAGATATAATATAAAATTATTGTTTTTTTAAAAAAAATCATTTATAACTTAAAATGAAATTATTTTTTGAATATTAATAAAAAATTTTCTTGTGAAATTTTGAAATAAATTGTTTTTACTATTATTTTAAGTTTACTTTTACTTTAATTTTAAATAGTATTCAATTTTGTTTTATATAAATTATTTTAATTTATATATTTATTAGATTTGCAAATTAATATCTGTATAATACAATACATATACCATATAGTACTGTATATAGTATCCCCAGTCTTTTTTAAAAAGTACTAGTATTAATTAAATAATACTCTGGGGTATTGTGTAAAGAAATAGGTACTATACAAGAGGGATACTATAAAAGTTTTGATTATGTAAGTTGATTACATAAAGTTAAAAATAGTAAAAATGAGTTTTTTGAAAATTAATTAATACTAAGATACTTTTCAAAAATGTTAAAATTTACAATTAAATAGTACCCCAATACTATTCAAAAGGGGTACTTTACCAGAGAGTACTTTATGTAATACTATATAGTAAGCTAAAAAAATTTACAATTATTATTATTTATTAATTAAATTAATATAATTTTAAAGCTTTAAAGATTATTAATATTTATTATAAAATTTAGTTTATTTAGATTTTGGTTTAGTAATAGTAGGCATTGGACACAAATCATCTTTTTTACTTAGATTTTGTATATGATTTCTTATTTGTTTATATAAATACCATTGTCGTTCTGCACTAAGGCCAGGTAATTTTTTTTCAACTAATTGATTTAAATTATTATTTTGCTTAGTTTTTTCTATTTGTATTAATATTTTTTCTCTATAAGATGATGTACTAATTTTAATATTTCCTTGATTTAACTTATTAAATTCAAAATAATGTTGTTTTAAAATATTTGGTATTGTTGTAAATTGTTATTTTAGCCAATTTGTCCATTTATAAAAATGTACAATTTGATTTTTTTTATCATCAAATACTGTTTGTGCAATATTATATCCACCAGGAGTTGAATTTTGAACTACTTTAACTAAATCATCAAGATTATCTACTTCAGATTTTCTTAAAAGTAATTTTATAAGTTCAAAAAATCCATCTGGACTAAATTTAGTATGTTCTGCAACCATAAAACAATAAGTTATACTATTATGTAATCTAGTTAAAACTCTTCAAGCTAAATATGCTATCATAGCATTATTCTTATTTTGTCCTGAGCAATTATCTGCATGAATTACTAAATTTTTTTCTCCTAAACCATGTAATTCAAAATAATTATGAACTAAAGAAATAACTGTATCTGCACCTTTACCAACTAATTCATTTTCTTTAATAAGATAGTTTACCTAAAAATATTATTTTATAAAATATATTAATATAAATATTTATTATAAATTTAATTAATAATTTAATAATAAATTATAATATTTTACTTGACGTGGAAATGCATCATCACATATTCCAAATAAATGAACTTTATATAAAGATTTAAAATAAACTTCACCCTAATAAAAATATAATTTAATAAATAATTTATTATTAATTCATAATAAAAATAATTTACTTCTTGTTGAGATGAATATGGTAGTTGAATTTGTTGTGCATAATTCCAAGATAAATGAAATATAATATCTAATGAATTAGGTTTTCCAGGACGTACTAAATTATTAATTCCAATATTTTGAATATCCTTATAAGCTATATTAATTTGTTGTCTAAAAATTTTAAATATAATAAAAAATTAAAAATTTAATATTTAAAAAATTAAAAATTAAAATTATTTACTTGTAATTTTCATGTTCTTTATGTGCCCATTTAATATGCTAATGTTATTCTAAATCTTTTGCTTCTTTTTCTTCTACTGACCAATAATTTGTATTAAATCTCATATCTTTATATTTTAAATACAAATTATTACGTGCAGTTAATTTTTTAATATGTGGTAAAAATTTTTTCTGAATTGTACTAAATGTTGATAAGCTAACTTCAAATTGATCATTATTTTCTATTGCATTAATATATTGTATATATAAAGATGAATAAGTAATATCTGCTGGTAAATATATTATTGCATATGTATTATCACGAAAACTTTGTTTTATTAAAAATTTAAATTAATAAAAATTAAAAAATAAAAATATTTGATTAAAAACTTACAAGGTGATGGTAAACTATTTTGCTTTGCAAAATTTTCTATAAAAGTAATTACTTTCATTATAATTTCAAATGATAGTGCATTATTACTAATTTTATTAGTTTTTGAATTTTTACGTAAATTTATATCATTTTCTACAAAATGATCTCTTAAATTTTTCTATCTTTTTTCTCCAAGTCTATAAATTATTCTAAAAGCTTTTAAACAAATTGACTTTCCTTCAAAAATATACTCAGTAGAAAGTTTAGATTTTTTAGAATTTCGAACTATTTCAGGTCATTTAGTAGCAGATATAATATCTAATAAATATATATCTTGATAAGATTTAAAAAGGTTCTTAAAATTTAAATATCGAGATAATGTGACAGAATATTCACATTGAGTTTGTAAACAATTTTTTTCACAACAACCTTTGTTAAAAGATTCCTTAAATTCATTATTTTGCAATAAATTTATTTTATCTTCTAATTCTTGATTATCATTATCTTGTTTTTTAAATGAATCTATTGTTTTGTAATATAATATTTAGAACTTAAAAAGCTCAAGTTCAGTCTAAATTTCATTATCTAAAAGAGAATTTTCTATAGATTCTAAATTTTCTAAATTTTAAGATGAAGATAAATTATTATTTTCAAGTACTAAAAATTGAAATTGCAAATTTGAAAGATCTGTTTGCAATAGAGTATTTTCTGTATGAGTTTCTTCAAAAATATTTTTGTTTAAGAGTAGGGTGTACGTAGATCAATTTTTATATGATCTACATGGTATATTGAATTTTTACATAGTAAACAAAAAAGTTCTTCTAATAAAACTCTTCAATATCTTAACCAATTTGTATCAAATTTATAAAATATGTAGTTTAAAGTAGTTTGTTTATAATAATAAAGTTGTACAATACATATTAGTTTAAAAAAAATTAACTTTACATATAACTAAAAATTTCCCTAGACGCTATATGTTTTCTCCTGGTTACACAAAGTATTGCTAATTATGATTGGTCAAATCACATGTTGTTTATATGTAAATCATATAATACCATATGATATTGGTTACACGATATTGATTTACAATTTATTTTATATGAATTTGGAAATAGTTACACCCTACTCTTAAATTTATATGTAAAATTTGGCAAAAAAAATATTTTTTTTTAATTTATTTAGGAAAATAAATATAAAATATAATTTTAAATATGAGATTTATATATTTTAGTATTTAATACTTCTTTAATAAAAATTATAAAACTATATATCAAGTAGTTTTAAAAAAATTTTGAGCTAAGGGTGTGGCAACTTAGTGAAGTGGTGGAGTTGTTGCATTTTCAGATGGCAGGTTTAGAGTTCAAACCCCACAGATGATAGTTTTGAAAAAACTAGATCTGTATTGGTTAATATTAAAATTATCAGTTGGATCCAGATATCTATAATCTTAATTACACTATCTCAAATAAGAGCTTCGACGCAATAAATCCAGGAAACCAGAATTACTGAAAACCTATTTGGCAAGTCCCAAGTGTGGAGTAACAGTGATCTTTGATAGTGCTACAGGAAGGCCAAATTTGAAACCAAGAACTAAGACCAGAGAACTGAATGACCAGATCTTTAAGTAAAGGGATATACTAGCCGAACCACCAGATCACCAACCGGAAAAAAAGAACTTGTGCTCTGGAAGCATGTACCAAGGGGAGGGCGACTATGAGGCACCTAAAGCCTGAGCAGACCAACCCTTTCATGTTGCTGGCTGGAAGTAAGAGAGAGACTAGTAAGGAATTCGGTAAAAAAAGAAAGTTAGAATATGGGTATCAGGGTTGTTGTGAACCTCACAAGGGCAAAGAGAATGTAATGGGATTCTAATTAGAAAGGTTGTGGCTTGAGATATGAATCAGGTTATAGCAGTATCCAAAAAGATAGCTTGAGATATGAACCCAATAGTAATAGCACAACAGGTACTAGCTAGGTAAAAGTTATCAGAACATGCAAGTGAATATATGAGTGGGACATGTACTATTCTGTTAGATTTACTACAAGAATAAATGCCCTAATATGGTTTGGCTAAAGTCTTAGAGTCATCTATAGCAATTGCTAATCTTATATGAGTGTTAGGGTAGGGCATGTTACAAAAGTGGTAGCTAAAGAATTTAAATGAGTAACTCTCTAGTTAGGTTATAGGTATGGTAGCTAGTGTAAAATCTAGAGCAGACTTCTTAAATAGGCAACCAAAAGTTGCATGTATAGCTAGTTATACTCTTGTTAGAAATAACTAGAGAGCTTAAATAGATAATCTTCTAGTTAGATTGCAGGTATGGCAGCTAGTGTAGAACCCAGACGAACTACTTAAATTAGACATCCAAAAGGTGTATATATAGCTAGTTGTATCTTTGTAAAATAGATATAATATTATAACTACCTGAATAAAGCTTATGCCAATAGCCTAAGTAGTCATCTTAATATTAAAAAAAAAAAAAAAAAAAATCTTGAGCTAAAGTTGTTTAATTCTTTTCTATATTTTTT